GAAACAGTTTTATGCTTTAGTCATTTATCAGCAACAATCGAAACAAGAATTATGCAACAAGAAGTTAGAATAAGCAGTTTATCATTCAATAACATGCACTGTTCTAAGTAAATCAATCATGCGAACCAGAGTAATATTAAGGCTTCCCAGACTGTTATAAACTAATTCAACTCTTTATACACCAGTTTACATGACTTAGATTATGAGCTTCATAGGAAAGAATGTAAAACGAATAATACAAAACTCACGACCAGGTTCAGTTTAAAAACATCAAAGACATGAAAACCAGTTTAATTTTAATTCTTAATTATCCTTGGAGTTGCATTAGACATGCAAAGAACACGAGCCAAAGGAATAGAGTTAGGATTAGAACTAGCTTGTAAGACTTTGGTTCAAAATCTTAATGCCGTCGTCCTAAGGTTTCCGGCAATCCTTACTGAAATCCTCCTCTGTTCTCCCTCTGCCTCCACAGTCGTGAGTAGGGTTCTAAAATCCTTAGCAGAACCTTATACGTATATTTATAGGCCAAACTAATCCTAGGTTCAATTAAACCCTAAACTAACTTACTCGGCCCATAGAGCAAAACTTAATTTATAATTATGCGTGCTACCAATTAATCCAGTCACATTAAATAATTAAAAAAATTAAATTTAAATTCAATTAAAACAATGCATCAAGTAATGAAATTTAAATACACAATTGACTAGTTAAAGCACTAATTAAATAAAATAATTACATAATTATTTAAACACAATGAAACAGTTTAAATCCAAGAATTTAATTAATACAATTAATTCAAAATTCACAAATACAATTAAGTCAATTAAATAATTAAAACCCAATTAATTAAAATAACAAGCAATTAAACTATTAAACAAATAAATATGCACTTAATCAATAATTAAAATACTAGGACTATCCTTTTGAAATTAGGGGTATTACAGCTTTCCTTGAGGAGTTCATTTCCATACTTATTTAAAGAGTTCATTTAGCTTACCTTTGTAAACTCATCTATTTTATAAGCTTTCCTCGATGAGCTCATTCTTATACTCTCGTAAGGAACTTAGTTAGTTCACTTATATCTTTAAAGAATTCCCTTCTTTACCTCAGTCTTTTGCTCGAGCTCCTTCCTCGCAGCTTTGAGCTCTCTCCTCGCGATCTCGAGCAGGGGGCAAAATGTTGATATACGTGCCACGACGTCTGCTTGAGTGGCACCATCTCTAAAAATAAGCATACATGGCCAGTACTTATCTAGCGTGCTCCTGAAAGTATTATCGAGCTACTCGTCCTATAACTAAACTCACTGGCCGAGGAAGAGGTTACTACCCTTCCTCTTCTATAGACGCGCCCCGCTCCATTCGGATGGGCCCCTTCTCCCCTCTTTTCCGAGGTTGCTTCCTGCAGGCGTAACCTCGGGTATTTTTTTCTCTCGAGCTCCCTTTAACTGTAAGGACCTCGAGACACAAAGCTAGGATAGAGCCTGCAGGGCTGAGAAGGCAGAACCCCGAGAAAGGCTCTTTCCTTATCTTCAGTTGCGAGAATCTGAGTATCAGTGGTTAGGTGGCTGAGTTCCAAGGAATCGCCTCACTTCGATGTCTACACAAGGGGGAGAGAATGTTTAACACCCAATAGCTGAGCTCGAGTAATAAACCACATAATAATCTAAATGTATATCTCACATAATTACTATTGGATAAAGAAAGAGCTACCATCATAGCCAAAGGTCCTTACCTAGGTAAAACGACCATTGGATAAAGAGGAAGTTAGCTCTCATGACCAACGGTCCTTACCCAAATGAAGTAGTATAAATAGGGCTTAACCCTCAACATTTAAGGGGGCTAAAAATACATATCTACACCACCTTAACTATAACTATAAGTAATGGTCTCCTAGTACTCGCGCTACCATGGGTGTTAAGCAAATCTGCCTTCTCTCTCTTAATCTCCTTTATGGAGAATCCCTTGTGCTGGCTTGGAGCTCCACTCAGTCTCTGATCTCAGCATCCCCGACAGACGTGGAATGATTTCCTCATCCTATTCACGAACTACCATCAACAAACTAAAAAATGTCTTAATGGCTACACAAGTTAATATAAAATTAAAGATACTTATTTCATCCGAATTTTCTTTCGACAATGTTGCATTTAGTTGAATGCTATGGTTGTCCCTAAATTTGGCTAGACAGGTTAATATAAAATTAAAGATACTGAACAGGTGTAGCGGGAAATAACAAGATTTTAGACAGCTATCCAATGTTGTTGAAGGATATGATAAGTCCAAAACTAGGAGGAGGGAAAATAATTTTTACAATGCCAGCCATATTTACCAATTTTTATAGAATTGTTTGTTTGTGTGAATATTTATGTATTCATGGTGATTGTTTGTGAAATTTCTGCATCTGTTGAATCTGCTCTACTTTTTAAACATGCATTCATAATTTAAGACATTGAACATATTCATAGTATTGAGCATTTGAAAGAGAAAATATTAGCGAGACACGTGATTTGAAATAGTTTGCAGGATGTATGATCATTGATAAATTTGTGTAATTATAGCTAAAAGAATAATGACTCAAACGAAAAGAAGAAAAAAATCATCATAATTACATGACCAGACGTTTCAATTACATGCATGACTAGACGTTGCAGTGCAGCACCAAACTAAACTAATCGTCTTCATTGTTTTCATCTTTTCTTGCCCTTAAAGAGTAAACCTTGCTAGGAAACCTAACTGATGAAGATCGAGTTCGTCTTCGTCTTGGTTTTTCTTCAGGATAAGAGTTGTTGTGAATACTTGTTTATTCAGAAACCTTTTTCCTCTTTAAACAAATGATCCCAGTTTCACCATTGGCATCATCGTCAAGATCTTGACCATCATGGATTCTTTTTTGGGCATAATTTCATAATACTTCAAATATCATAATCTCAGCAGAGCAGTTGCTGCAGTTGAAGGAGAACCTAGCCCATATGTTTTGATACGGTCGTCAAACACCACTTCTTTGCGGGAATTCAACTTAGTGTCTCTGTTGATGCAGTTGTCGCAGGTCCTGCAACGAACGCTAAAGGGCATCGTCATCGTCATCAATGAAGAATCTAATTCCGGCTGTGACAATGAAGCTATGTCTAGGGTTACGATAAACAGAGGCGCAATCAATCAAATATAAAGAATTGAGTTATTGGGAAAGAATTAGGATTCAAAATCCTTGGGAGCTCTAATATTTGTCTAACAAGAAATCCTTTTGTTCCGAAACTTAACTAACAAGAAATTATCATATATATAAAATACCCAAACCTGACTATAATGGGAATTTGAGACTGACCTACTAAATAAGGGATAATTAAAAGACTAAACTACCCATTTACAAATATTTCCTACACAACCGAATTTCTTTCTCCACTATTGCATTTAGTTGAAATACTAGATTAATGCTATGTTTGTCACAAAAAATTAGCCTGCAGTGAGTGGGGGGGGGGGGGGGGGGGGGGGGCGGGTTACAAAAATCGTTTCGACACTTAATATACTTTTAATGCAACAGGCTCACACATCAACCACAAGTACTCAGTGATTTTACAAGGAAAATATTTCTCAACTAGAGATAAAAACCCATGGTTGTTGGCCACAACCAATATAAGCTCCATTAGTTGCTAGAGATAAAAACCCATGGTTGTTGGCCACAACCAATATAAGCTCCGTTAGTTGTAATGCAAGTAGATACACACTCAGTTGTCTCTCACTCTACACACACCCTATCTCATAATAATGCACACATGTAGTCCCTCTGTCCTAAACAACCATGTTTGGACCCTATGAGCTTTCATAGCTCACCAAATGCATATATAAAGATGTATTACAACAATACTCAGGCTACTGCATTGTTCATTTTTTTATTATTTTATTTTTTGCATACTTGATCTATGGTAATCCATAGGCAGATTGTAAAGACTACCATAAGGAACCAAGAAAATGTGGTGGTTTTTGGGAATATAGGATTGACAAAAAAGCTACCTCAAATTCAGTTTTTGCTAGTAAACAAAAAGGTCAAAGTAGATCTCTTATACACAAAAATTATTACATGCTTAGGGACCAAAAATGACCAATCAACACATAAGCAAGTGTACGTGTAAGCTTTATGTCAGATTATTCCACTTTTTTGCTTACATGTCCGTTGATGATTGGGATCATTACCATGTTATTGATGGGTAATGCATGTTTGATGAAATCTTCAAGGTGAAAATTTGGGTAGTATTATTAAATTTTTGACCACATTTACTCCTAAAATACTTAAGATGCATTATTATTTTTTTAAACGCACACACTCACAATCTCAACCTCCAAGGAGGGATGGGTAATGCCCATTGATTGATTGAATGTGTTATAACAAAAAAATAAAAATAGAAAGTGTCGTGGTTTTAAGATTAAATAAATATTTGACAATATGTATCGCCAAGAAGCCTTAGGCCTAACAATTTGTCTCCAATATTCTTGCTTTGTTTGGCCAATGAATTTTTTTTTTTTTTTTTTTTTTTTGATGACCAAAATGTTTGGGATATAAGAGGGGTTGACAATGGATAGTCAATGTGCTGTATAATAAGACTTGTTTGAATAGTCTGAAAATTTTGAGCACTCGCTTGAACGGAGAGAATAAAAACAGAGTCTAGATTGTGAATGTTACAAGATATTTGATTAAGCTCACAAGTTGAGTAAACAGATTTGGTACATTACTTTAAAAATTAACAAGATGAAAATAATTTAATTTAATTTATTTGACATGAACTTTCAGGCCAATTGAAGCTTGAATGCAAAGAGAAAAATAAAGAATCTTCACCCATTCACTATATTATACAAAACACCACTTGAAATTGTGTCTTTCTAGAGAAACCTTGGTCGTTTACACTCTGGAGGAACACCTTGAGGGAAGCGTTTTAAATCACTGCAGTAATTGTAGATCATGGAATTCTTCTGAACCCATCTCAATCTTCTCCGACCATAGTCGTCGAGTTCTTAAGTCTGCCACCCTCCATCCGAGAGTGCTGAACGAGAAGGGGTGCCATGAGTGCAAGATCCAGCACAGGTTTGGGCGTTGAAGTTCCGGTAGTATGCTGTAAAAGGTGCTTTCGACCAGTCAGTTTTCACTAACCCGCCACTCGTAGCCCAATCATCAGCATTCCACAAGCTAGAGTAAATCCTCATAGGTTGGTTCTTGGGGAAGGGAACACCAATTGATTCAGCATTCTTGAATAGTCTTATGGGAGTGTTGTCAACCAAGAAACTGATCGAACACAGAAGGCAAGTAGCAATATATTAGGTATTGTTAAGACATGACTAAAGGGGAGTCCTCATGTACACTCTCCGAGTGAGATTAATCTCCTCTGGGTGAGACAAATGTTAGGAGAGATGACAATAAACAAACACAGCGGAATAATTCTTCTCCCTATATGCAAGCAAATATAGTATATCTCTACTTTTATATGTGCTGAAAATAATAGAGAACAAATCAATCACACCAAGTCACAAGAACACAAGCAATTTTTTTCGTAGAATACTTCCCCATTGTGAGGAAGGAAAACCACGGGACCTAGTCCAGTTAAAATCTCCACTATCAACCAAATAATGGGTACACAAAGTCTTCTCTAATCGCAATTAGAGGCTACAAAACATCTCATCAAGATAGCAACAATCTTGGCAAAAAAACAAAGAGAATTGGAGAGAAAAAATACCAAAACCCGGTTACTGTTCACGGGCACAAATCACTATTTTTGAGCTCAAAATCCGATCTTCAGCATTCAGATTTTAACTCATTGAGTCATGAACCTCTCCTCCAAATTTTAGCTCGATCGGACCACGAACAAACCGGGATCGGACATTTGATGAAATCTGGGCAGAATAGAAAAACCTGCGTTTTTCTACCAAAACCCGGTTACTGTTCAGGACACGAATCACTATTCTCGAGCTCAAAATTTGATCTTAACCATTCAGATTGTGCGTCACTGAGTCATGAACCTCTCCTCCAAATTTTAGCTTGATCGGACCACGGACGAAGCGGGATCGGATGTTTGATCAAACCTGGGCAGAATGTAAAAACCTGTGTTTTTCTTCTTTTTTGTTCTTTCACTTGCGGCTAACCTCTCTCTCTTTTTATACTAACTTCCTTAGGGTTTTCTTTTCCCTAAAGGCTGGGCTTTGGGCTTTTAATAAAACCCACTTGGGCTTTCCTCCACATAGAAAGAAATAAACCCAACAAATCTCCCCCTTTCCGACTATGTGGAGGGAATCGCCATCCCGGCAATCAAACAACAAACTTCAAGCTTCTCTCTTGGTAATGTCTTTGTCAACATATCAGAGTCATTATCATTAGTGTGAACCTTCTCAAGTTCAAGTAACTTATTGTTCAACGCATCTCTGATCCAATGGTATCGTACATCAATGTGCTTATATCTTGCATGGAAACTGGAATTCTTAGCAAGATGAATAGCACTCTGGCTATCACAAAACAACACATACCTCTGCTGCTTGAAACCAAGTTCTCTCAAGAACTTCTTTGCCCATAGGAACTCTTTAGTCGCTTCCGTTGCTGCAATAAACTCTGCGTTTGTCGTAGAAAGAGCAATACACTTCTGAAGTCTCGATTACCAACCTACAGCCCCACCTGCAAAAGTGATCAAATAACCGAAGTAGACCTACGAGTATCCACCTCCCCTACCATATCTGCATTTGTGTAGCCAACTAACAATGGTTGTCCGTTTCCCAAACCGAGTCTCAAACTAGAAGTGCCTCGAAGATATCTCATGATCCACTTCACTGCATTCCAATGCTCTTTTCCCGGATTTGACAAGAATCGGCTAACTACACCAACTGCATGGGCTATATCTGGTCTTGTGCAAATCATTGCATACATCAAATTTTCTACTGCTGAGGCGTAAGGAACTCTTTCCATGTTTTCCTTTTCCTTATCTGTAGAAGGACATTCCTTTATACTCAGTCTTAAGTGGGTAGCAAGAAGAGAGCTAACCACTTTAGAGTTGTCCATATTGAACCTCTAAAGCACTTTTTCAATGTACTCCTCCTGTGACAAATATAACTTCTTGGCACTCCTGTCACGACTGATTCTTATGCCAAAAATTTTCTTTGCTGGCCCCAAATCCTTCATAACAAATGACTTACTCAATTGCTTCTTCAACTGCTCAATCCTTGAAGCATTCCTGCCAACAATCAACATGTCATCCACATAAAGTAGTAAAATAATAAAATCATCATCAGAGAATTTTTGAACAAATACACAGTGATCAGAAGTTGTCTTCTTGTAGCCTTACTTCCCCATAACAGACTCAAACTTCTTATACCACTGTCTCGGTGCTTGTTTCAAACCATATAGGCTTTTCTTCAGCTTGCACACATAATCCTCTTTCCCTTTCACTTTGAAACCCTCTGGCTGCTTCATATAAATCTCTTCCTCCAAATCACCATGAAGGAAGGCAGTTTTCACATCCATCTACTCAACTTCCAAGTCAAAACTAGCTGCTAGGCCGAGTGCTATACGGATTGATGACATCTTTACAACTGGAGAGAAAATCTCATCAAAGTCAATACATTTTCTCTTAACGAACCCTTTGACAACCAATCTAGCTTTGTACCGTGGCCGTGAAAATAACTCATTTTGCTTCTTCCTGTAAATCCACTTGTTTTCCAAAGCTCTTTTTCCTTTAGGTAGCTTCACTAACTCAAAGGTGTGGTTATCATGCAATGACTGCATCTCATCTTGCATTGGCTTCAACCCACTCTGTCTTTTGTTCATCTTTTATGGCTTCTGCAAAACACTGGGGCTCTCCCCCGTCAGTCAATAACACATACTACTCTACTGAATACCGAATGGAAGGACGTCGATCTCTGGCAAACTTCCTGGATGGAATCACTGGTGGAATCTCTGGCGCTGTCAACTGCTCATCAGTCTCAACATCTCCCTGAACCTGTAAGGGAACATCCACATCACCTATACACTGGTGGTCATCCTGACCATCATTCTCAACCTGAGATGGCAGATTCTTCAGAGGAGCTGGATCCATATCAGTCAAGATATCACCTTGTTGAGACATAGATTTCCCTGCTTTCTCAATATCCTGAATCGTCTGATCTTCTACAAACACGACATCTCTACTTCTCACAATTTTCTTCTCAATTGGATCATAAAGCTTGTACCCAAACTCATCTTGGCCATAGCCAAGGAATATACACTGTCGCGTTTTCACATTAAGTTTGGACCTTTCATCTTTTGGAATATGCACAAATGTTTTGCACCCAAAAACACGCAGATGATTATAGGAGACATCCTTACCTGTCTAAACTCGGTCTGGCACATCAAACTGTAGAGGAACACAGGGTGTAAGATTCAACACATGAACAACTGTGCTCAATGCCTCCCCTCAAAAAGATTTTGGCAATTGGGCTTGTGAAAGCAAACATCTTACTCTCTCAACCAGTGTCCTGTTTATCCTTTCTTTTACGCCATTTAACTGAGGAGTTTTAGGAGTTTTCTTTTGATGCCGGATACCCTTCTATTTACAATACTCATCAAAAGGACCAGAATACTCTCCGCTATTATCAGTACGAATGCATCTCAGTTGCTTCACAATCTGTCTCTCAACTAGGGCTTGGAATTGCTTGAACACTACCAACACTTGGTCTTTTGAATTCAAGGTATATACCCACAACTTCCTTAAATAGTCATCTATGAAGGTCACAAAGTATCTAGGCCCACCAAGTGTTCTCGTCTTCGTAGGGCCACACACATTCTAATGTACCAAATCCAATATCTCTGACTTTCTCGAATCAAGGGAATTCTTGAAAGAGACTCTGCTCTGCTTCCCTGACAAACAATGAGTACACCTTTTCAGAAATGTAATTTTCAATCCACATAGTAGACTTTTCTTCCCTAATAGAGCTAATCCTTTCTCACTCATGTGAGCCAGTCTCTTGTGCCATAATTCTGTTGTATCATTATCCTCCATCACATTAACAATGTCGTTGGACATCTTTCTTTGCAGAACGTACAGTGCAGAGTGCTTCATACCTCGAGCCATAACCATAGCACCCCTAGTGAGCTTCCACTGGCCATCACTGAAAGTGCTGCAATACCCTTCATCATCAAGTTTACCTGCAGAAATTAAATTCAAGCGAATGTCAGGAATATGCTTCACATCTCTGAGAACTAACCTCGTGCCATTATTCATCTTCAGATACACATCCCCAATTCCAATGACTTTAACCAAGCCATCGTTGCCCATCTTTATTGTTCCAAAATTACCAGATTTATAAGATGCAAAGAAATCCTTCTATGATGTAGCATGAATGGAGGCACCACTGTCAATCACCCAACTAGTCTCATGGTATGCAACATTTATCATCTCATCATCATAAACAATGAGGAAGTCTGCAGGAGTGGTGGTAGCAACTCTGTCATCACCATCTTTATCATCTTCATTCTTCGTTCCCTTCCCTTTCTCATTCTTGTTTTCTTTCTTCAATTGCTTGCAATATTTCTTGATGGGTCCCTTTTTCCCGCAATAATAACACTCAACATTTGCAAACTTGTTGGATTTGCTTCTGTTATTATCTCTGTTCTTCGGACCTCTACTCTTAGTTCTCCCCCTCATTTATGTAACTAAGATCTCTGACTGTGAAGAAGATCCCTGTGTTTTTCTTCTCATCTCTTCATTTAGCAAACAACTTTTGGCCATATCCATTGTGATTACACCTTCTGGAGCGGAGTTAGACAATGAAGTTCTGAGCGTCTCCCACGAGTCCGGTAATGAACCAAGCAACCATAACCCTTGTATCTCATCATCAAACTTAATACCCATTCCAGCCAGCTGATTAATAATTCCTTGGAATGTATTCAGGTGATCAGATAAAGGAATCCCATCTTGGTATCTCAAAGCCATCATCTGCTTAATCAGAAACAATTTATTATTTCCAGTCTGTCTAGCATATAGCTGTTCAAGCGTACTCCATAGAGAACGTGCATATGTCTCTCCACTAATATGGTTCAAAATATTATCATCTACCCACTACCTGATATACCCACACACCTGTCGATGTAACAAAGTCCATTCCACATCAGATTTGTTTTCTGGTTTTTCAGCACTAAACATCGGTAGGTAATAATCTTTCACATAAAGAAGATCCTCCATTTTTCCTTTCCATATGTGATAATTTGAACCATTTAAATTATTCATTCTACTCGTATTTGCTTCCATAACTCAAACTGCCAACCTGTCAATCTGTCAACCTAGAGCTCTGATACCACTTTGTTGGGAGAGATGACAATAAACAAACAAAGCGGAATAATTCTTCTCCCTATATGCAAGCAAATATAGTATATCTCTACTTTTATATGTGCTGAAAATAATAGAGAACAAATCAATCACACCAAGCTACAAGAACACAAGCAATTTTTTACGTGGAAAACTTCCCCAGTGTGAGGAAGAAAAACCACGGGACCTAGTTCAGTTAAAATCTCCACTATCAACCAAATAATGGGTACACAAAGTCTTCTCTAATCGCAATTAGAGGCTACAAAACATCTCATCAAGATAGCAACAATCTTGGCAAAAAAACAAAGAGAATTGGAGAAAAAAAATACCAAAACCCGGTTACTGTTCACGGGCACGAATCACTGTTTCTGAGCTCAAAATCCAATCTTTACCATTCAGATTTTAACTCATTGAGTCGTGAACCTCTCCTCCAAATTTCAGCTCGATCGGACCACAGACGAAGCAAGATCGGACGTTTGATGAAATCTGGGCAGAATAGAAAAACCTGCGTTTTTCTACCAAAATTCAGTTACTGTTTACGTGCACGAATCACTGTTACCGAGCTCAAAATCTGATCTCAACCGTTCAGATTGTGCGTCATTGAGTCGTAAACCTCTCCTCCAAATTTTAGCTTGATCGGACCACGGACAAAGCGGGATCGGACATTTGATTAAACCTGGGCAGAATGGAAAAACCTGCGTTTTTCTTCTCTTTTGTTCTTTCACTTGCGGCTAACCTTTCTCTCTTTTTATACTAACTTCCTTAGGGTTTTCTCTTTCCTAAAGGCTGGGCTTTGGGCTTTAATAAAACCCACTTGGGCTTTCCTCCATATAAAAGGAAATAAACCCAACAACAAATCCCTTCCGACACGTGAAAAGCTCGAATTCAAGCATTTAATGTATATATATATATATATATTGATCATACTAGCATTTCCCCATTCAAATTTTGGTTTATTTAGGTAATAGAGAGAATAGAAAGTGATGTGTGTGTGTGTGTACTGTCTTACATGATGTGTTGGGGGTTCCAGATGATGGAGTAGGTGTGGAAGTTTCTTGTGGGGTCAAACCAGAGGTAGAATTGTTGCTCCCTGCCCCCTTTCCCTTGAGTGAACGCATTGGTGTGGAGAATATAAGGATCTCCACTAAGGTTGCCCAAGAACTCAAAATCAATCTCATCATGAGTAGGTCCTTCAGAGGATAACTGCAACACACAAATAATACCAATTGTTTATGAGAAAGACAATTCTATTAGTTTTAAGGTCAATGATATATTGAAAGAAGTTTCAACAAAGAATCAAAGTCAATTTCAAAATAAACTCTATTTAAATGTTAACAGTAGACTTCTAAAGATGATTTCATGGTAAACTTTTATGTAAGATAAAAAGAAGTCTACTTTATGGTGAACAAGTCATAAATAGAAAGTAAAAGAGCTAGTAAGTGAAAGTTGGCACAAACCCTATATTTATCGGTGTCAGTCTTGAATATACCTAATATACAAGCAAAAATTTTTAAATGTACCGACAAGCATGATAAGTTAGGCGCAAATGAATGACGCTTATATTTTATGTAACTTAGTAGTTCTTTTGTCACATGAGCAATACGCGTATGTTCAGTCACATATTAGTTTTACTTATGAAAAAAAAATTCGGAATAGAAATTAATTATATCTTGTTACATAAATAAAAAATGTATTTATATATTTTAGTGAGTCATATCAGTACGTGTCAGTATTTAATTGGTAAGTAATACCTTGTATTCATTATTTTTCATCAGTTAAAGTTTTTTCCGCATTCACTTTTAAAAATGTAAAAGCTTCCACACTTCATGCATGAATATATAGTAGTATAATTCTTTCTTCTTCTTCTTTTTTTTTTTTTTTTCATTATGTCACTTTCACTTTCCTTTTTTCACCCATAAAAAGATGTCTAGAGTAGGCCATAAGGAATAATGCTAGTGCATAATAAAGACTAATTTGTACCCAACAAAGTTGATATTCAAACACACATTCAAAGTCGATCAATTACAATAATTTGAATTAATAAGTGTAGGCTAAAAAGACGAGAGTTTGAAATAAACGTACGTAGTAGGCAGTAACAGTGCCAGCAGAGTTTCCAGCAACAAGCTTGAGCTGCATATCGATCCTCCCAAACAGATACTCTCTCTTGGACTTGAATCCAGAGCCAGAGGTGTGGTCTAGAGAGAGAGACAGAAGCTGCCCTCCATTGAAAATTTTGGCGCGATCGTCACCCCATGTCAAGTCAAAATCTGGATAGAAGTTACCAGAGACAACCATCAAAGAGCTCACTACTATAGCAACAAACAAAACCATTGAAAATGCCATTTTAGAGAGAGAGAGAGAGATTGCTTGTGGTGAGTGGGTTATGGGTTTTAGAGAGGTATATGAGTGTATATATATATATAGGGAGAGAGGTGAGGGAGATGGGTGGTATTAAAGAAAGAGGAAAATGCTTGTGAAGGGGAGAGAGAGAGAGAGAGAGGGAGAGAGAGAGAGGTGGCGTGAGGAGTTGTGAGAGGCAAGGTAAAGGCTGGTGACAGCTGATCAATAGATGAAAGCTGTAAGGTTTTGTTTGGGCACTGGATTGTTTGGAATTTTTGGTTTTTTGTTTGCAATGATGATTCTATCTTAAAAGTATGGCTGCAACTCGAGTGAACTAACCCAGCCCAACGCGAAATTTTGAAATTTAGGTTTTAAGTACAAAAATTAGGCTCATGTTCGGGTTCGGTTTTGTCAAAACCAAGACATATTCGAGTTGGGCTCGGGCTCAACCCGAACCCAACCCAAAATCCAAAAAAAAAAAAAAAATTTCATTTTTTTTTTCACCTCTCTCTCTCTCTCTCTCTTCTTTCCCCTCTACTGTCGTCCCCATACATACAAGTTCGCAATTGTAGAGAGAGAGGGGGGCAAGCTTGAGAGTTGAGAGAGGGGGGCAAGCTTGCGAATGGCGAACCTGAACTAGAACAGCGGGCGATGGAAACTGAAAGATCTGGGTTTTGATTTTTTGAACAATCTGAAATGATATGCCGATATGGGTTTTGACCTTTTGATTCTTGCAGACAGATAGATAAAACTGAAATATATGGGTTTTGAACTTCTGATTCTTGTAGATTTTGTAGTTTGCAGTTGTAGAGAGATGGGGGGGGGGGGGGATGGAGGCGATTGGGGAGGCTAAAATGATTTGCCCTAAAAATAATCAAATATATAATATATATATATATATATATATATATTATATATTTGATTATTTTTAGGGCAAATCATTTTAGCCTCCCCAATCGCCTCCATTCCCCTATATAATATATATATATATATAATATAAATTTTTGAAAAATAAAAAATAAAAAAAAACCTTAACCCGTCAATCCGATCCAACTCATCCAAAAATATTCGGACTGGGTTATGACCATAACTCATATTGGGTACAATTCGGGCTGACCCAATCTAATTCGATTCGAATTAAGGTTGGGTTAGGACTGGACTGAGTTGGGCCAGCCCAACTTACAGCCCTACCTAAAAGGATGGAAGGCCTTGGGGAGGGGTTGGGTGGGTATGATTGATTGGGCCATTTCAGTGGATGACAGCCAGCTCATTTATGGACAAAATGTATTTAAGTGGGTTTGGTTCATGGGATCAAAGGATATGGATGGTGTTGCTTTTTAAGATGTGCCATCTGGCAACATTCATAGTCCAGGTTTTTAACCAAAAAAAAAACATTCATAGTCCAGGTCATCACCACTCATTAACTTGCTCTCATTCTTGAGCTTCATAATTTAGAACTATGTATTTTTTTTTTTGCACTCAAATATTTAAATTCTCATTCAGAGATAAGATTACATGCATCTAACATTCTTTTGCACATTAATCTAACTCTTATATGTTCTTCAAAGAGTAAAACTTTCAAAAGGGCTAGAAAATAAAGTCTATCAAGACAATCTTTAACCAGAGTCATGATATGTTTTCATTAATCATTAAATTGATATAATTTTTTTAATCTTTTAATAAATTTCTCAATCTAATAATTAACAAGGATAAATCATAACTTTGAAAGTGTCTCTTGATAGTATTAAAAATATTCTGAAAACTAGTTTTTTAAAGACTTTATTGAGTGGGTGTCATGTATCATTTTTGGTTTTTTTTTTTTTAAACCATGATTTTTTAAAATGATACAAAATATGCCCTTAAAATGAATGATGAGAGTTTACGCTCTTGGAGTTGGAGGAAGACGCTCCAGTTAAGGCACACAGCTAGATCCCTTATCAAATATTCAATTGGCAACGGGGCAGACACATCTTTATGGTGGGATAATTGGGCTCCAGGGGGCCCCCTCTGCACAAGGTTTCCAATCTCTATACTGACTGAAGGTGGTTTTCAAGAAGGAGTTACTCTCGACAATTTCATTCAAAACAACAACTGGTCTTTTCCCATGAGCTTCACTAATTCTATCCCTAAATTATCTAACCTACCTGCCCCAGCTCCTTCTACAAGGGACTCCAAGAAGTGGATAGCCTCTCCCAATGGTTCTTACTCATTCAGTCACACTGTCTCTCATTTGAGGGGGGATCTTCCTACTGTTTCATGGTATAATCTAGTTTGGAATTCTCCCTCCATTCCTAGAATGAAGTTCATTTTTTGGTTAGCAGTTCAGTCCAAATTGCCAACTTATGATAGCAAGTCAATGTCCAAGCACATTAATATCTGCCCACTATGCAGTGCATCCACAGAGTCTCATGATCATATTTTCCTAAATTGCTCCTTTGTCTCCCCATTGTGGCGTTTTATCAAATACAAGTGCAGCATCTCTACATCCTTAAGAAGTTGGGAAGCTCTTGTTCAGTGGGCAAGTATCAAATGGAAAGCTAAAAACTCAGTTAATCTTTACAGGAAATTGGGGCTTTCAGCTTTTGTGTACCATACCTGGGAGGAGAGGAACGCCAGGATTTTCAGCGGAAAAAAGGCATCTCCGAGAGTTGTACGTGCCAAGGTCTACTCCATCGTTTCTGCGATTTTGAAATTGGGATGCCTCTCAGACTGTGCCTCATCTAGAGCCATTCTCAAGTCTTGGAACATTTCTCCGTCCTGTTGCAGACCTCCACCGTGGTAGCCGGATTGAGATCTCGACGGCATAGCCGCCTCTCCTTGCTACTGACTGGAAGTTCTTCTTGTTAATGGCAGTTGCCGTTATTGGTAGTTTCCATTTGGTTTCAATGTTTCATTGCTGGGCCTACCCTTTGGGCTTGTTTTTATCTTGTCTGCCTTTTGCGCTTCTTTTTCTCTCCTTTGGGCCGATGGTCCTTTGTAAATATATCATTTAATTAATGAAAATTACTTTAATTTTCGGAAGAAAAAAAAACGATTACCAATGACCCACTAGTCCAAGGTTTTGTATTTTTTTTTGACAATTGTTCAAAGTATAAAATAATATGTATGCGAGTATACTTACCTAAACCAAAATAAATAAATCGTTCACAAGACTACTAATATTAACTCTCTCTTTTTTCTTTTGAAAAAGTTCTAATATTTACTAGTTTGAATATCTTTGAAATTCAAGATATTTCTTCTATCTGATTTTTATTTATTTTATTTTGATTTGTCTTATATAATTTACGGTTAAATTATTGTACTAATGACACTGATTTAAGGCAATGGAAGTAGGAAAAGGAGGGCCCATAAAGGCATTTTAAGTGGGTGAGAATGGGCCGAGCTACCAACCCAAAGTTGGGAGCGCGGTGCCATAACTTTTTATTTAAGTGGGCCTACTACTACTTGATTCATGAATGTATGTTTTAAAGATTCCCTTTATTAATTGGGCTCACTTAGGACGCGTGACATCAATCATTATATACTATATAACACCTCAAATAATGCCATCATCCTACACACACATATCTGTGTGTGTTTTTATGTCTGCTTTATACCATAAAAATCTGTATTCGCACTTCAAAACTGCCATACATTGCATGTAATGGTAAAAGACTATAAGGTCTGGAGGGCCTAGTATGAGTAGTTTGTTTGGAACGCAAAAAAACATCTCTACAGTGCCATTCTGTACCCCTCTTAACGTCCTTTCATTTTTTGTGTAACCTTTTCTTTAATTCCCTTTGGCATGTGGTGTTATCTATCGTGTTTAACCGGAGTATTCAGGGCTTTGCCAGACTAAGTGGTACGGATGCGTGTATTACACGAATCATCCAAATGTGTTCATTGTACGGTGCAGCAAGCGTAAGGAAGTTTTTCTTGCAAAATACCAAATATGGATAAAAAAAAAGTTCACGATATGTGTGTGTTTCTATGCAATGTCATCATGGTCTGAACATTATAATAAAAGGATAGGGTCACAGGGTGTACTATAAGTTGTCTATGTTTGCAGTGCGAAAAAAACATCTCTTTCGGTGCCATTCTGTAGCCCTTTGTGTCATTTCATATTTTGTTTTTTTTCTATTCAATTCCCTGGTGTGGAGGGTTTTCATCTACTATTTTTGGACTATGATTTTTTTTCCCCCCAACTCTTGATAAATAACATTCTCAATTTAGAAGAAAGTCACAACCCGGATACGCTACAAGGTGGCGTAGATAAACGACGACTCGTACGGATATATCTTCCAATTCGTGATAAAGAATACAAAGACACTACTACCGTTATGTCACGGGCTTAGAGTAGCGTGTCGCCTACATGGCGTAACCTTCGTAAGCGGGGCATGACAACTAGCTCAATCTTCATAGGCGAGGCGTGACAACTAGCTCTCTTATATCTTTAATACACAACTTGAATATTGAAATATACCGGCTGGCACTATACCAGTGCCAGCCTCGATCATCTCTTCTATTGCAACAATGATTTTGCATCATCTTGAAAGTTAGAGATGTAAAAGATATACCGTACACTTTTAGTAAAAAGATTACATATTGAGACTCCAAAAATGACTATATCTTTGTACTACTTCAATCGAACTTTTCTAGAGTACAACTGAATATAATTTCACTATTCGAACTAAAACCAATTTTAAAACATTAACTCAAATAAAAAAGCTACATAGATTATTCACACTCAATTTGTGCAGTGCAAAGATAAATTATTTTGTAATCAGAAATAATTGCTGAACCAATGGATATAACATGAAAAGACACAAAACACAAAATGAAAAAACATGAAAACATGAAAAAACAAAGAAACAAATGACTAAATATTGAGACTCCAAAAATGACTAAATCTTTCTACTACTTCAATCGAACTTTTCTAGACTACAAAACTGAAAATAATTTCACTATTCGAACTAAAACCAATTTTAAAACATTAACTCAAATAAAAAAGCTAAATAGATTATTCACACTCAATTTGTGTAGTGCAAAGATAAATTATTTTGTGATCAGAAATAATTGCTGAACCAATGGATATAACATGAAAAGACACAAAACACAAAATGAAAAAACATGAAAAAACAAAGAAACAAATGAGACCATATGAAACATCCAAAAAGAGGGAAAAAATAACAAGTAACAAGAAATCATGTAGCAAACCTCAAATTCGAAGAGATTGAATTGAATACAAGTAACATGCAAAACATGATTGGATGCCCTAAATGCCAGGTAACAAATACCTCTATCCCATCTTCAACAAAACCTGTCCTGAGCTATTCATGAAGCTCACATGAAATCATGTCTTGCCATTATGCTCTATTCAGGTACACAAACACAAGTTATGTAGGTACATTTCACGTTTTTAAATTTTCGCTTCGGTGCGAAATGAAGACAAAAACAAAACAAGAAAACAAAAACAAAATGTTGCAAATCCAATTTTTGGCTACCCAAGGTTCATGGTCATAATACAATTAACTAAGCTCTTCCATGAATATTTCTTCCAAACCATAAACACATACAAAATGCAGTTCAAAATCACACAGTTGTGTTCCTACAAATTTTCTCCTCCACTTTCTAAGCAAAATTATAAATTGATAAACATTTCTTATCCAAGTATACAATTACATATTAAACTACGATGACTATGTACTGTAATTTTTTGATAAGTAATAATAAATTAAAAAGGCGTTCAATATGGGAACGCGTCCCGTAGACATAAAAGAAGCCGGGGTCTTAAGCCTTTTCTCTAACTTTCTATATTGGGTGGAAGGGGGAGGAAAACTAACTTGTTGGTTAGAAAAGATACTTGACCCATAATTTGTTGATTACAACAAACACTCATCCCATTTATATAGACATTCCGTTTATATAGATATTTTAACTAGATAGTATGATAAACATTCTAAAATATTCTACCACTCTATAATGTTAAGTGTGGAAGATTATAAGTAACCCAACTTTTCACGTGGACCAAGAATGGAGATGAGAACATCTATTTGCAATATGATCCAAAATATGTCCTTATGTATTTAATTTCAAGACATTTAAGAATTTTTCACTTTAAGTCTCTCAAAAAATGGTATCAAATATGATCAACAAACTCATCGCATCAAACACATCGTATTCATAATCAACAAACACATTAGGAATTAATACATACATGAGGTTCACTTTATCGCATTCTTTATATTTTACTCTCTATTCATGAGAACTCTATCATTAGATGATTTACAAGATTCATTGGTCCAATCAATATCTCGATGGAAGAAAAGTGATTATTAACAACAAAAGCATTCATAACGCTAAAGAAATAAAATATTGCTATTTACTATTACACAAATGTAAATAATTAATTTAATCAAAGTTTAACCTTAAAAATTCCGTGCATTGTTATACTCTCCCTCTCCTTTGGTTGAAAATATAACATGCAACAAAACTAATTTATAAAATGTAAAATTATTAAAAACCTTAACATCTTTGGGTAAAGATGTATTTAAAATTTTACATTTTATAAATTATTTTTTGTCATTTTTTAATTGAACCAAAGAAAAATCTCCTTTGAGTGGATAATTATTATGTTGTAATCCAAAAATGCAATTTTGATCAAAATACCAGAACTAAGAAAATCCATGAATAAACCACTTTGGTAGCAAACCCAATCAATCCATTAGAATTTTCTTAGAACGTGATCAAATATTAAATTACATGTTAACATAAGCATAAACAAATAATGACAATTTTTTGTTATAGTTTGACATACTTCAATGACTTAAATAATCACATAAAAATGTTACAGTATCAAAATATTTAAGTTGAAAAATACAGTATGGCAATTTATATTAAGAAACTATGAATATTAAAAACACAACTTAATTGTGCCACACTTAATGTCATTATATTCAATCTTGATGTCACGCCCCTCCTATATAATTGGAGAATTCTAAAAATGTGTATTAACATGTAAATTGGACCAATTCTAATGGGCATAGAGTTATATTAAGTTGTAAGTATCTTAAATCATTTTCGAAGATTTTCTAAAGAATAGATTTAAGCCATAATCAAGGAAGATAATTTTTATATAAAGGGTAAGAAAGACATAGCTAAAATTAAAAGTTTGTCAATCTTGATGTCACACCTCTCATGTATAATTAGAGAATTCTTAAAATGTGTTTTAACATGTAAATTGGACAAATTCTAATGGGCATAAAGTTATATTAAGTTGTAAGTATCTTAAATCATTTTTGAATATTTTCTAAAGAACAGATTTTAGCCATAATCAAGATAAGATAATTTTTATATAAAGGGTAAGAAAGATTTGAGTAGCTAAAATTAAAAGTGACTAGCCTTATAAAATACAAACACAACTTCATGTATGTTACTAATATTTGACTATATTTAACCTTAGTAAATAAGGTTAGTAAATATCAAGGGCGGATCCAGCCTTTGTAAATGGGGTGGGCTAATTTATGGACGGCTAACATTGGACTAGGCTACCATTATTATTATTTTTTTTTTTCCCCCTTGGACTGTGCTTAAAGTAGTATGGTATTTTTATTTTATTTTTTATTTTATTTTTTTTTTTTTTTTAGGGTGGTGGGCTAAAGCCCAACTTTACCCACCCTTGAATCCACCATTGGTAAATATACCAAACCAATGGTATATATTTTGTCCATTAACAATAACTCTAGTTGATAGTTTACTAATCCAGGGAATGATGGGTTGGAATGTATAATTGAGATAAACGTTATAAAAAATTATCGTATAATAATATAATAAAAAAAATAGAAACAAATAAAAAATAGGAAAACACAATACCAAAATCTGGGCAAAATAAAAATACACAAATATTCCATTAAATATTAATTATCATATGATAATATAATAGAAAAAATAGAAACGTATACAAAATAGAAAAACACACTACCAAAATCTGGGTAAAATAAAAATACACATGCAAATATTCCATTAAATATCTAGGCCGGTTATGCTACATCTTTACGATAAATCAAGTCATGAAATTGGAATATGATAAACAAAATAAAATATTTTACAAAATCCTATATAAAAGTACTTCTTGAATTTTAGTGATAGGGTATATATCAAATTACATACATTAATAATAACCAATCCCTAATAATCAACACCTTACGGGTGTGATGTTATTTTCTGATTTAATCCCAATAGATTTAATCCTATACAGTGATTAATTTAATCACAGTAGATTTAATCCTATACAGTGATTGATTTAATCACAGCAGTCACAATATATACTTTATTACAATATATACTTTGTTACTAAAATCAAAATAGGTAATGTGTATGGACAGCTCTGATACTACATGTAAATATATTTAGGAAACCATACACATGCTTAAAACACAACAATAATAATTGACAGCATGTAAAGATAAATACCTACGGAAGCAATTACGCAACGTGTAACAAGAAAGTAGAACAACCAGTGAGAAGTAAAACAACATGCAAGATCTGCAAAAGAACCAGTGAGAAGTAAAACAACATGCAAGATCTGCAAAAGAAACGTTTTGCTTGATCTTCCACGCTCTACACTAAACTCACGGGTCTTTTCAATGGGGCAAGACTAACCAATTGTAGGCACACTGTATGAGACCAAACAATATATATATAATATCTGATAAAGATCCCTTAAAAAATTCCTCCCATTAAGGAATCTTTATCAGATCACAACAAACCCAACTTAACCCCTCCCATTAAGGGATCTTTAACAAATCCAATGTAACGTGAGTTATGTTTAACGCATTATAGGTACAGCATATAATATTAATATATATTATATATATATTTATGTCCTTATCCATATCTCATAACACATTATTACGTGACTAAGATAGGTAACGGTATATAATGCTAATATATGTTATATATATATTTATATCCTTATCCATATCTCATAACACATTATTACATGTGACTAAGGTACACCATAACCCATATATTCAACAATCCCAACTGTATTGGTATCCAACAATTTTTATTTGGTTTCAATCATCAATCCGAGTTTTTATATTATTAAATGATAATCAATTTTTAATTCTAAATTTTAATTATTTGAATATTTAATAGAAAGAGGTCTTCGAAACTAAAACTATCAAAATTGAATTCAAGTTATTAAGTTATACTAAGATTTAAATTTTATAATCATAACTTTTGGGTTTTTTTTTTTTTTTTCTATATTAATATATTGTCTATATTAAAAAAAATTACTGATCCCACTTTAAGAATCATACCAGTGACCTTGCTACCTTGGCTGGTCATAGTGTGTATCATGGAATGAGCTTTGGAGATCCCTGCTGCCTTTTCCACTTTAGATAAATGTTTATGTGCCCTACGCATATGGAAAGGATGTTCTAGCACGTCTTCCAACATATATGATTAAAATTGTTGCATTGTGACTTTTTTTTATGGTATGCTTACATGATTCTCTTTGCAAAATGCTTTCTATCAGTTTGCAGGTTATAAAGACCTACCTAAAAAGGGTGATATGGTTTCAAAGGGGCAGTGTGAACATTTGAAAGATTCTATCGTCACAAATGACAAACACCATGCGATGATGCGGGGATCTTACCCTGCTTTACAAAGAGGTATATTTGATTTTTATTTACAACAACTAAACTTTTTATATGAGTTCTGTGTTTTTTCATTGTTATGCCTTAAATTTGTTAATCATAATTCAATTTTCTATTTAAATGAAAATTTTGTGTCAAGGTTCTGAACAGAAGTTTAATTTTTTTGTTTTTTGATAGGTGAACGAAAATTTTGTGTCAGGTTCTGAAAAAATGGTTTTGCAATTGTAACATACAAGATGTGCTTTAATGAGACACTTTAATGAATAAATATATATATATATATATATAATGTTTGGAAATAGATAAGATAGTATGTGCTTTAATGAAAAAAAAAAAAAAAAAAAAAAAAAAAAAAAAAAAAGTGGTCCATCTCTTTGTGTTGAATGATTATCCTTTCTCCCAACTCTGCATGTATAATAATGGTTCGTGTCTATCACAAAAGGAAACATTTAAAAATATAATTATTATATAAGAACAAGATGCCAAACGTTTGTATCCTTTGGTCCATCGTCTAAGGAAATTTTTTAAAAAATAATTATTATATATGAATAAGAATATATAATTACAAGTTCATCAAAATATTTGACACACAAACATCTATTCTAAGCAGCTATTTACTTCATTTGGCAATAGTTTTGGTTAGAGGTAGTTTTGGTTAGAGGTTGCATAGGCTGCCTCTTTGGTTTGGTTGGTTGCTTTTCTCTCTGTGTTCTTCCCCATCTGGGGCCATGTACATTCTTTCCTCTTTTATATACAGGCTTACCCTTTAACCGAAAAAAAAAAAAGAAAAAATGGAAGGAAATGTTTGTCTTTTGGGTGGTCTTCACCCAAAATATATTATAAAGTTAATAATAACCATAATTTAATTTAAAATTTCTTATTTGATTTAAAATATTTGAGAATATAATTATTAATATGGTAATATGATGCATGCGAAGTAAACGTTTGTGTCTTTTGGGTGGTCTTCACACGCAAAAAAATAAAATTAAATTAAAAGTATAAAATTAAAAATAACCATAATTTATCTAAAAGCTATTAACTAATATAAAAAATAATAAAAATGTCTGAAAACTAATTTGGTGCTTTTTAGAATTCCAAACTGAATAGGAGTTAACAATTATTCTAACTGTTAGTAAAAAAAATATTTAATGAAAATTATTTTGTATAATATTTATATAGATTATAGAAAACTTTTCCCTTTCAATTATTCTTTGGACACAAGTATTGTCCAAAAAAAAATATCTTTCCAAAAAAAAGTATTGTCCAAATTTTTTATCACAAGTAATAAACTTTCCTATAAAAAACTTTTTTCTACCATACTGGAGTAGTATATTTCTAAGTGCCGCAGAGGTTCTTGTTTCCTATACCTCGAAACAAGAATTAGTGCATCTGAAATCATGTTTCTCGAAAACCACTCCAATTGTAAGTAATGTGTTAATTGTTAAGTGAATTTTTGTCAAATTTTATCTATGCATGTGTTAACCAATATCAGTTGAATTAGTGCATTATATCATCCATCATCATCGTTGCCTTATAAATTCTCTTTTTACAATCATCTATATATGTTTTATTGATACCAATTGATTTTTCATTTATTTTCCTTTGATTCTAATGTTATTTGGAATATCTGTTGCAGACGAACGTTGGAGTGTAATAATCGACTCACTAGTTAAAATAGCAACCCCTGGATATACCAGTAAGGGCAACCCTCTTTATTCTTATATGTATCGTCGATATACTAATATATATATATATGCTTTATAGTTTGTTTTTGTTAGCACCCCACCGAGTTGTCCATAGATTTGTTGTGACTCTCGTTTTTCCAGTGACAAAGTCAGAAGAGATAAGAGTGTATAAATTTTCAATATTAAATTAATATTGTGAATTAGTAGTTATGTTGTGATTTACTTAGGAAAAATATATGTATACTCTCTCATTCACCTAATTTCTTTTGTAGTTGTGGAGGAAATTTATAATTATTGGAATGGCACTACTCCCAGCCAAATCAGGGCTCGTAACCGGAAGACTGAAACAGATATGTGCTCATGCACTAAACCTAAAGTTGCCATGCTCTATGAAAAGGTATATTTACTTTATCAAAATTTGTAATCTATATACATGTCATAAACTTAAATTCCAACATTATTTGCCAATTCTTTATATATATATATAGTAAATAGTCTAATAATATAAAGTGATTAAGGCTATGGTCTGATTTCTTAAGTAGGGCAAATTAGGTGATGAAATCAAGCCGCTCGAAATAACTAGAGAATTTCGAGTGGTAATTTCCTCACCAACCTCGTAAACCTTATTTCTTTCCCACTCAACTAATCATATAAGTTTCAGGAGTTTGACTTTTTCATTTTTTTTTTTTTTTTGTTATTTCTTTTCCTTTTAAGATGTTTTTAGAAACCATTAGAGTGACATAAATAAACTATTTTTAATTGATTATTTATATCAAATTCAACTACGTGAGAGAGCTCTACTTCCTTATTTATTGCATAATTAACCAACTCAATACAAGAATCATTTTCCAAATTTAAATGAACCATCTATTGTGTTTTTCTCAATTTTTGTGTATGTAGTTCAAAATTATCATTCCACCCCAATAATAAAAAAAATAAATAAATTGGTGTTTGAGTATATAAATCATACCCGTCTTACTATCATTATATAAATTCGGAGTCCCTGAATTTATTGAACTATCACTGAATTTATTGAACTACGACATTATTTGCCAATTCTTTTTTAAATCAATAAAGTATAATATTTGTCTTTATTTTCAATTTTATCCTCTTATATTAATCTTTTAGTGTAGTTTATTTGGTAGTAAATAATACTCCGTATGAATAAGGTTTTCTTTGTAAATATTAATTAAAAATGAAAGCGAGATTATAAAAGTATGTGTACAACAATATCGCGCGGTTTATAACTATTGCTTGGTTTTCTTTGTTATGATGCAGTGTCTAAGCTATTCTGGGAGCAATGCTACAAAATATTGTGGATCATTACGCAAATTATTGTACTTATACACTAATGGTAAGGAATAATCTGTTCCAATTATTGCCCCCCATCCCTCTCTCTTTGTTGTCTCTTCTATTTTCATTCTCAATGCATGGTTTTTATGGAACTTAATTCTTATGTTTGTGGTAATATATATGTTGTATCTCTTGTTTTTGTTTACTTCTTTTTCTTGTTCTTGCCGTTCATCTAATGGATTGTTAGTTCTACTGAATGCTTGTATTTTCTGTATTTTCTTTTTGATTTTTCAATGTTTCCTCTTAATTTGTTCATGCCAAGTAGATTCAAATTCTCTGGATTTTAATTCTCAATTTTGCAGTTACGTCTTTTGGTTTTTCCCTGTGTATCTGTCAAGTTGAACAAATGCATTTTATGCGATCAAGAAAAGAGTAGTGCTACACATCTTGAATTAAAATTCGAGATTTTGATCTTGTAATTAGTGTGGCGATGTTTATATCCTTTATTTTATTACAAATTGTTAATTGAAGAAAAAAGAAAGAACCGAACAATTACATTAGGTTTCTCTCTATCTTTATTTTGTTTTTCTACTAATATTTTTTATTATATATACAAGTGTGTGTATATATATAACTTCACTATGTGAAGGTTTCTAGACTGTTCCTTTGATGGGTATTATGAACTTCATGGGGACTGAGTTACATCTATATTATATTGATGCAAGTTTTTTTCTTCTCATATATTTTGACAAAAAGTAAGTGCTGATATGCGATTTCATACGTGATTTAGTGGGGATTTGTGATCAAATGTGGCCTCCGAATTGTTTAATGTTGACTTAGAATCCTAATATATATACTTCTGGTAAAGGAAGTGTGGACATAGTTAAGCAATGAAAAAAAAGATATAAATTGTTGCATTGCGACTTTTTCTATGGTATGCTTACATGATTCCCTTTGCAAAATGCTTTCTCATGACGCGCACGTATATATCCTTCTAATACTCTCGTTTGCAGATTATAAAGACCTACTTAAAAAGGGTGATATGGTTCCGGAGGGGCAGTGTGAACATTTGAAAGATTCTATGGTCACGAATGACAAACCACCATGTGGGGATCTTACCAAACTTTACAAAGAGGTATATTTGATTTTTATTTACAAACAACTAAACTTTCTATATGAGTTCTTTGTTTATTTCATTGTTATGCCTTAAATTTGTTAATCATAATTCAATTTTCTGTTTAAATGGAACTTTTGTGTCTTTAATATATATATATTTTTGATAAGTGAACGAAATTATAAAAAAATATTATTATTATTTTATCGCTTGTGTCTTGAAGGATAAGGATGTGTTATTCTTTGTTTAATTTTGTGGACACAAGTGAATGAATGTGCTTATTCCCATTATATCCTCATATAAGTATCTTCATCTATGAACTGCTATACATAAATTGAGATGCCATATCACTTCCACTTTGATGATGTCTCACTCCTTAGACGTTGACACTTCATTGACTGCTACATGGTTACGGTCACATAACAACATTGTACTTGTGAATAAGTTTCAGTTAGATCTATATCGACTTTGTTCTGTTTTCAAAGCCATTGTAGTGACCTAATTCTTCCTTTTTTTCTTTTTTGCTTTATTGTTCTTCTTAATCTTTATTTGCTATGCAATAATGATTTACAATTATTATTTGGCTTAAAACAGTGCAAAAACGAGATTTGGAAAGAACATGCAGCTTGTAAGTACTTCAAAAAAGACTTGGACCAATATTGTCGTGGTAAGACTGATGTTTTTCTGCATGTTGTGAGTAATTTTTGATTAATGTGACGTGTTGTGCTATGCTAGGGTTTTTTATTTTCATTTTTATCCTCTTTACCTTTTTCCCTAGCTCTACAATATTTATCTTATTTTATATCTATTATTTTGCCCTTCTCTCTCTTTGATTCTCTCTCTTTTCATTCATAGAGGTCTTTATGGACTTCTTTATTCTTTTTGGCACTTCACTTGAATGCCAGCTCACTTTCTCATCAAGACACATTTGCTTTATTTGGAAATAAATATGTTGATATATAGTTCTGGCATGTCGACCTTTTATCTTAGCGTTATAGAAATATTTATTCGTCTTACAAGAGAACCGATAAAATGTTTATATCCGATGCTCAATACATCAATATTGGACTTCTATTAAAGTTTTTCGTTTTGAGTTGATTTCAAGTACTCTTATTTACCTTTTTTTTTTTTTTTTGGTTGATGTTGAAGTTCAAGTACATGCTTTTTGTTGTGTTTGACGGGTCATTTTTCTTTTATGTGAAATTAATAAATTATAGAAATCATAGCGTGCATGATTGTCCAATTTTAAAAATATTGGATAATTAGGTCATCTTCCTTGTGGTTTGTTTGTAATTACACTAATCTTTCTTCTAGTACTTGTTATCTCCGTTAAGAGAGTATATATATGCATATAATATGATGTTTTACAACTTTGCTCATCAAAATCTAGATATAATTTTTAACCGAATAAACTAGTTATTGTGAAAAGACATGTTAACCCTTCACTCCAACAATGGATTCACTCGACTTCTCTCCCCTGCAGTAGTGTAGGAGATAGACTTTCTCCCTTTTTCCCAAACCCTACCTTCAAGTGTCTCTCTGTACCTATCCAGTCTCAAAAAAAATTGACCCAAGTTAGATTTATCACCTCCAGTGTGGGCTCTCTCAATTCGAGAGAATCAAAACATGGTTAGTCCAGTGTTTTGCGGATCAACTTTTAGCAATATATAGTTCTGGCATATTAGCCCTTGATCTTAGCGCTATAGAAATATTTACTTCTCACTTCATTCTTATTCCATCTCATTGTCCATTTCCTTCTTCCAACCAATTTTTTGACCTTTTGCAATGCAATCAATTTATTGTCTGGTCCTTCTTTATCCACGTGTCATAGAGAAAATCAATGGCACATATACTAGAAAAATAACTTTCAATAGAGGTTTTCCTCTAATAATGAGTCGAGAATTCCTATTTTTGAAAAAAATATGGCACAAAATACTTAATTGATTGGCTCAAATGATGTATGATAGATAACCCAATCGCTATTTTGTCCATTTGACAATTGAACTTGCCCATGAGCTTCCACCTTATAGATATATACTGTGTGTGTCAGGTTACAAACTATACTATATTTATATATATATAACCAAGGGTACAGTTGACATTATGAAAGTTTATCTTGCTGACAAAACGTGTTGAGAGAAAGAATTTGTGACAACTACTATGTTTGATAAGATCACACGAGAGATTTTTGTAATTATAACAAATTTTAAAAGATGTAATTTACTAAAAATGAATTATGAAATTGTTATCTAGTATTTTTTTTTTTTTTTTTTTTTTTTTTTTTTTTTTCCCTCTCCTGAAATGTTTTCTCATACTATTTTTCTCATAATATTCTTTGCAGATGGAAAACCCATTCCACCATCAGGTAATTATGAAATCATGTTTTTGTTAATTTTTAAAATGATGTTTTAGATGATATATGTTTCTTTTTATGAAGTTTTTGTGGGCAATAAATGTTTTCTTTGTTGTGGATGCAGTGTGGAAACGAATCTTCAATCCTCCTGACACTAGTGCCTAGTTGGTTTCACAGTTCTTGGCACTACCGCAAAGATTTAGCTTTCGAATTATTACTTTGATTAGTTTTTGATAGGTTGAATGTTTAGGATGTTATTTAATTATGGAACTTGAGAAATGGGCTACAATATTTTTGCAGTCCCTGTTGTTTTTCTTGATCACCATCATCTTTTTCTCTATTTTTATTTTTGGTAAATAGTTTCTCTCATTTTGCTTTAAGAACTTGTGAATACTTAGAGCCCCTGACTGGGTAATTTTTTGTTACCATCATCTTTTTCTCTATTTCTATTTTTGGTAAATAGTTTTTCTCATTTTGCTTTAAGAACTTGTGAATACTTAGAGCGGGGCTGGGTAATTTTTTGTTGTAAGAGTGATTGGTTGGAGAGGGATATTGGATTTTGAGTATGGAATAGTTCAGGCACCACTTTCAGGTCCTGAGCTTGTAGCTGCTGTTGCGAATGCTGGTGGACTCGGCATACTTAGAGCCCCCTGACTGGGTAATTTTTTGTTTTTCTATATCTTCTTTAATTAAATCTGATCATTAGTGAAACCCAGCTGTTAATTAATTTTCGTTTTTGATATCTGTGAATGATCTATTATTATGTTCGGTATGTGTGTATATATTATATTTACATTTTCCTTTAATAATACACTTCATAACTGCTCTTAAACTGTCACGGGACCACCTCATTATTTTTTTATTTTTATTTTTTTCATGTTTTCCCTTAATAGGGTGGATTGTGTAAAAAGCTAAATAAAATTGTTACAAATGAGAAATTCTACCGCATCCCTAAGATATTTTAAAATTTTATCAGCTATCGATTGAACGGGATCATGATTGATTGATAGGTTATTTATTTATTTATTTTTTATTTATTTATTTTCATTTTGCCTACAGAAAATAAAGGGTAAATTACACTAACTTGAAATTTCCTTAAAATACACTGACCTCCCAATGAAAAGCCTTAGTGCTCTGGCCGAATAGCATTGTACCACTTGAATGAAAGCATAGTGATTCTCTTGTTTTTTTATTCTCCATTATTATTATTATTATTTTTTATTTATTTATTTATTTATCTTTCTACTAAATTATTGGACACTCACTCTCTCTCTCTCACACTCTCACATGGAGAGGAAGAAAATATACACCCAAGCCACTCAATCGTTGAAGTTCACAATAGTTCAGTTGTTAGAGATTCGTCCCACGTCAGATTCAGATGTGCAATAAAACATATTACCTTTTTTATTGCTTGATTTTAAATTTTTAATATTTGGGCTCTGTTTCAATTATTTGCTCTGATACATTTGAGAAACTTTTAGATGGTTTTTGTTTAATTTCACATTTGTATATGTACTTATGTTTTCTATAATTGTTTATTTTAAAGATTTCAAATATATATATATATATATATATATATATATATATATATATATATATTTTGGTCTTGAATACGAAATGGGTTGGATTTGGCCATTTGGATTGTTGTTAGTTGACTTTGTAGGATCGAAAAGACTAATCTTGCTACCAAATAAAGCAAAAATAAACATTTTTGCATATTAAATATGTTTAACTACCGTGTTTTCTATAATTGTTGATTTTAGAGATTACATATTTGATTTTGTATTGAATTGGAATCTTGCTTATAAATAAAGCAAAATAAAGGCATATTAAAAATGAATCAAACTCATTTTAAACATCAAGTTAGAGTCGGATGTGATCAAAATTTAAATAATGTGAAAAGTTATATCTATGTTGTATGTATACAAAATTTCGGATCGAACATGAGATCAGAAGAATTTCATGCTGAAACACTCGTTGAAAATATAACCTATAAAAATAGAAAGAAGAAAGAAAAAAAAATCAAGGAAGAACAAAGGCTAGCGGTGTTGAGAAGTGTCTTTTCATTTGGGTCTAGCCTTTATATTTATATCTGTACAATGAGCTCTTTTTGGAGTCGTTTACTCTCTCTCAATGTCACATATCTCTGAATTAAACGCTCAATTCACAAGGAATCAGGAGAAAGTTATTGAGCGGTTCATATGTGGAAGATGTGGTGACCAAGGCTTAGGATTGGGCTTTCTTATGCTCTTCTGCCCGACTTGGTATTGGGTATATTGGCAACTTTGGACGCCTGGCCCAATATGTTTTAGCTGGCCTTTTTGTCTGGTTTGTTGACATGTGGCGTCTTTTAAGGCAACTTTCAAAACACTCAAGCATGTGAATGGCACTCAATTGTGGAACAAGAACATACAACATGCTAAATTGTGCATGCACCCAAACAACGCTGATCGAAGAGATCCAAAATATCCCGTCGGTTTGTTAATAGAAATCGTCACCAAATATGTTAATAAAAATTTAACACATAAAATATTTATGTAAATGTAAATGTGTATTGTTCCTTGCACTAATCAATATACATCATCCTTCGGACTATATTTCATCTAGTTGTTTTCATATTATATTTCTAACGTTAATTTCAACTCTTATTGTGGGCTTTTTGAATTGCGTTTTGGGTTTGGCCTATGTTGTTTTGCTGTGTTCTTTGGTATTGCCGGGTATTGCCTTGTGGTCATTTATTGGTTCCTATGTTGGGCTTGATTTGGGCCCAAGGCCCTTACTTGTACATTTTTTTTAATATAAAATTATCAATATATTTGCTTCAAATTTATTTATTTATTTATTATTATTATTATTATTTAAAATTAAGCTTCAAACATCAATTCAATGGCAGTGGAGTAGGATGGGTAGGCAATAGGCAACTGACGCTTCTTGTACCAATTGTTGCATCCACAAACACGAAAACAACAATTGTATAAAAAAAAAATGGTTATTTCACATCAACTAGAAATTGAAATGTTCTTCTTTGTCTATTTTTCATAAGATCTAATACATGTGTTTATTTGCTTAAAAATGTGATGTTCCACATCATTTGAGTGAATATTTCTCAATTATGTAAATATATTTTGAAGAAAATCATAAGTAATGAAATAAAAGAGTGCAAAATAGATTATATCCACTGTCAATAAAGTAACAAAACATTTATGTAACACAATGGTGATTTTAACCACTAATAACTCCTAAAGACAACCACTGATTGTTTTCTATAACACTTCATTTCTGTTTGGCATCAACAAAGAATTCACTCCTAGTAGATTATGTCCAATTTTCTATAATGTTTGCCAAATCTACCTACCCAAACAAAACAGTTGTCAATTCTATCCTTGGTTTGGTAGTTTGGTAGTATATGTTTTTATATCTGAAACTAAATTGGTACGGCGTTCAAATGTTTGTATTCAAATGGCTTTACCGAGGTATGAATTCACTGATCATAATTTTGATGAGTGAAAATAATAATATTAGTTTGAATGGTAATGTAAATACACACATTATAGTTTGGTCCCGCCTAATAGCAGTGTGATCCCAAGGCTCTTTTGAAGAAAAGTATAAAAGGGTTGTGATAACTCTGAAAAATTTTGTCAAAAAAATATTAGCAGCTGACAGAGAGTACATATTGAAGAAAAATATAAAAGGGTTGTAATAACTCTAAAAGATTCCATCAAATTTTGGTCAAAGTCCATGAATTTGAAAAGTGTTGACTTTGATTCCATGCCTAGGTAATAAAACCTCCCAAAATCTACTTTTTTATTATTTTTTTATTTTTTTAATTTTCCCTTATTTTGCTTCCAATACATTTTACAAAATTCAAATGATGGCGAGCATTACTCCCAGACCCAATTGTGTGGACCAAGGCTTTGGATTGGGTTTGCTGGGCTTTGTTATGCTCTTTGAGCCGACTTGGTATTGGGTATATTCCTTCTAGACTTTTAGTTTTGGTGCAACTTTGGACTCTTGGCCCAATATATTTTAGCTGGCGTTTTTGTCTGATTTGTTAACATGTGGCGTCTTGTGAGTGGTGAGAAAATTTCCCTCCACAAATGTTTAAATCAACCTTTTCGGATGCGGCTGAAAACACACATTGATCTATTATTATCAAATGTTTAAATCTACCTTTTCGGATGCGGCTGAAAACACACATTGATCTATTATTATTTTGGGAGGAAAAATGGTGCTAGGATCTAATATATATAATGTATATACTATTATGTTGAACATTTGCTTAGTTTTATTATTATTATTATTATCTACCATTTTCACGGACTACTTTTAAGTTTTAACTAGCATTGTCAAAAGAATATATGAGGACCCTTATGCTCTATGCCTACCCAACATTTTTTTTCCATTTTCGATTTTGTTGTGCACCTTTAATTGAGAGATATGTGACATCATCTTGCTGTGCAGCTTGAACGAAATGGACCCAAGGGAGACCTTTTTGTTCCCTTGTCTGAAAGGATCTGATCTATGGGCAACTGCTTAGTGCCTCCTGCATGGCGCAAGGGGGCGACTTCACAAATGAGGAGGAGTCCACAGAGAACACTGCCAGGCTGCCTGCAAAGCACATTGTTGCCGGGGCGATCGAGGGGAGTATGCTCGGAGAAACCTTTGTTTCTGTAGACACATACGGGACTGGCACCAGGAGATTCTCAGGAATTTGACTTTGGACCTGGATCATGAGAGGGGTGGTGTCAATGGCAGCTTCTTGAAGACTATAGTTTGCTTGTATTACCTAGTATTGTTGAATCATTTTTCCTATGATCAAAACAATATCTATCTATAGCTTGCTTGTATGAGCCATAATAGTATTGTTGAATCATTTTCCCTCTGTTGAAAACAACATCCTATGTTTATAGATTGTTTGTCTCTGTTGAAAACATCTATGCACTCTTACAGTTTCTAATTTCGGCCAAACAGTCCACTGGACTGTGAAACAAAGCCCAAAAAAAGATTACCAATGACCCACTAGTCCAAGGTTTTGTATTTTTTTTGACAATAGTTCAAAGTATAAAATAATATGTATGCGAGTACACTTACCTAAACCAAAATAAATAAATCGTTCGCAAGACTACTAGTATTAACTCTCTCTTTTTTCTTTTGAAAAATTACTACTATTTACTAGTTTGAATATCTTTGAAATTCAAGATATTTCTTCTATCTGATTTTTAT